TATTCTTTTTTCGAAGTTCACTTTTGCTTTCCACACTGTTTTGTAGCTATTTCTTCTAAATTCTTTTTTTATTATTATTTGTTTGATCCTGGTTTCTATATGTCATATTAGAGGTGTTCCTCAAATGCTTGGTGATCCTTGGCTTTTTGAGTTTAAAAATGAATCTCCAAAAAGTTACTAGAAGTTCTGTGTGCCTAGGTAAGGGCTGATGGACTAGTATACTTCTCGGTGGGCAGGCCGGAAAGGGATATAGCCATTTCATTGGGAGATCTCAATTGTCAGTATCCACAGGTCTTTTCTTTTGAGCCAGCACATTTTTCCACAGATGGCTCTTCCAATTTCCTTGCTATTGATATATTAGCATGGTTGTCTGTGTTCTAGAAAATGAATGGGTAAAGTGGGCTGGGAAGCCACACCCTTTAACATACAGACTTTCACTCTAGCTTTATCCTGCTGTTGGGTATCCTTAGATCCAAAGCCTCCTGTATTCAGGTTTTCTACAGTGTAAACCTTTGGTACTCTGCCAGCAAGGTGGATGTAGGCAACATAGCATTTAGAGACAGCATCTGAGCATCTATCTGCTCCTTTGGTAATTATTCGAACAGTTCTGTTTTCAGATCCACTGTACTTTTCCTCTTTCAGAGGTATCTGGTGTCTCCGACTCCTGAGCCTTTCCAGCATAATGACACATAATTGGGTTTGTTCCTTTCAGGATTCTACCTCGCTCCCCCACTCCCTACAGGCATTAGATTTCAATGTCCTCTGGACTACTAATTACCTCTCACCCATACCTTGCTTTCCATTTTCCAAAATTTAGTCAACATCTTTTTCATCTAGTATCAACTCCTGTCTTATTTTTTTCTTTACGAATTTATTTGCTTTTTATTAATTTACTGTCATTTTAGTTGTGTTTTGGGATGAAACGGAGATAAACATATGTATTCAATTCTCCTTGTTTAACAAAAGCATTCCTTTCTGTTTTTGAATATCTTTCATCTTCATTAGATGGCTACAGGAACTGGTAGAATTTAAAACTTCTGCCCTTTTGTTTTCTTTATCTATAGTCTTAATACAACAAAAATATTGAACTCTCTGCAGTGATTTTTCTTTGATACTGATAGTTGCACATAAGATTTTTTTTTTTCTAATTTACCACATTCTTTTTCTGGATCACAACAAGGCCTGTAACAGTGGGGCCACACTGTCTCGATAGGACTCACGTGAAGCTGGTAGAAGAAAAAAATTGGCAGCAAAAAACATGTGATCTATAACTTGGTTTTAAATGATAATGTCGTATTCTCTAACGTATTATGTTCCTTTTCTGACTTCCCTCTTTTTTTTTAATGTTACAGTTTTTTATGTGTGTGTCTGCTCCCTATGAAGAATTTTCAGAGGCCCCCTTTTCACATTTACATTTCCCATACACTTTTATTTTCCATTTTCTCTCTTCTTATTGACCCGCGCCTTTTCTTGTTTCACCTTCTTGACCCTGTTTCTGTGGCTGCTCTCCA